ATGGGGGTGGGGTGGCTTAAGAGCTGCAGTGTCAGACGTGGCTTGGCAATAAGGCCAGGTGATTAATTAGGTGGCAGGTACTGGGGACAGTCCCTGGCAGAGTAGGACCTGTATCAGCTCAGGGACATGATGGGTCAGGAACTTGACAGTCCCCGTGTTCCCTGCTGTTTCAGACTTGAGGCACAGGGAGAAGCCAGGGCAAGGACAGGGCCCTGGGGCTCACACCTGGTTCCTCAAGGGGGTGGGAACCCTGGACTCTGTGGTAGGAGGCTGAGCACCTGGGAAGGGAGCCCTCATGCCTGGTCAGGCCCAGGACTGTTTGCTTTGGACTTAAGAGATGGCTGGCAGAGGCGGGGAGGTGGCTTCTGAGGGTAACTAGGGGTCATCTGTACCCAGCAGCACCCCGCCAATCGTGGGGGGAGCCCGAGTTTCAGTTCCTGTCTGGAGGAGTCAGTGGTTTGTGAGCTCCAGCTTGGCCAACTCCGACGCCTCCTGCTGAGTGCAGGGCAGCCAGCCCTCAGCTGGGAAGGCGGAGGGCAGGGGTCACTTGGGCACAGAACTTCAGACAACTGGCTGGGAGATCCCTCATCAACCCCTCAGATACAGGCGGATCTGTCCCACTCTGGCTGCTCTCCTCCCCTCAGGTGCCTCTTCCTTTCTTAACAGTCCTGAAGCCAGCCCAGCAGCCTGGATCCTCCGTGACTTTAATGAAAGCTGTGAAGGTCCTGAGAAGTCCTACCACCCTCTTCCTGTGTTATCTGGGAAGATCCTGGATTCCGGGACCCTGCCCCCAGCCCCAGTCATCCCTGTTGCTTCAATCTGCAGGAACAAAGTCCTCTGTGGCCACTGGCCAGGCCCCATGGGGCCGCTGACCTGGAGACCCCGCCCTCTTGCAAAGGAAGGCTGTGCTGTCCCTGTGGGGCACAGGCCACGGGGCCTGTGGTGCTGGCCAGGCTCTTCCCTAGCAGGGCGCCAGGCCGTCCTGTGCCCCGGACCCCCGCGCCCCCTGCTGGCCACCGCGGGAAGAACCACAGAAAATGGAGGCCCCTCACCTCAACTGCTTTTTCCCCCATGTATATTGCTTTTTTTTTTTTTTTCCATTTTTTCTGTAAAATGTCCCGGTTCTTCCATAACTTATAAACATGATTTATACCGAGGGGTAGAAGGGAAAGTGGGCAGGGCGGGCTGACGGGCCGGGGAGCTCCTCTTGCTGCCCCTTGGGCGGGCTCGACGGGGCCCTCTGTGAAGGATGGGGACGCCATGACACTCCTCCCTGAGGTTGTCTGGCCACTTCTGCCCTGGTGCTCAGAATCCAGCGCCAGGATTCCGGAATCCCCCCTGGGACCCTAGCCCACTGGGCTCACCCGGCCCTGGCGCTCAGAGTCCCGAAGCGCCCCCTCGGATCCAGGACCCCCTCCTCAGCTGCTGGGGTGGCGGGTCCCCTCCTTTCCACTGCCCCTGACCCTGGAGGAGGGAGGGAGAGGAGGGGGAGGGGCTCAGGTCTCCCTCCGTGGGAGGTGGAGGAGGAAGGGCGTGGAGGCGGAGTGGACTCAGCCGATGGTGAGGCCGAAGCCGCACTGGAACTTGTTCTTGCGGTGGTTCAGGAAGGCCCCGAGGGCCAGCGTCAGAGGCAGGGGCGGCAGCTTCTTCTCCAGGGTGGCGCCCACGATCCAGTTACTGTCCACGGAGCCTGTGGGTCAACAGCTATGCTAAGAGACGTGCTAGGTCCCACTCCAGGCCTCCTCAGGCGGCTGACCACTGCAACCTGCACCTGGAAGCCACTCCGTGCAGCCCAGCCCCTTCACTCCTGGGAGCCGACAGCTTGCTCCAGGCCCTGGGAAGCCCTTGCCAGGACCCTGGGACCCCACCCCAGTGGGTCCACTCTGGGTCATCCTCCTCCAGGGACCGGGCAGCGCTCCCCATTGTGGGCCTGCAGAGAGGGCCCAGTGCGCGCCGCCTCTGCCCAAAGACCGAGATGTCTTCTAAGATCCATCGTGCAGGACCTTGCAGATGGGCCACTGCATGGAGCTGTCACCGCACCTTGTGAAGGGTCAGAAGCAAACCTGGCACTCCAGAAGGTCCCCTCACACAGGCTGGCCATGTAGCAGAGGGTCACCAGGAGGGCAGGGTGCAGCAGTGGACAAGTTCCCGGGCCCCAGGTGGCTGCTGCCTACCTTAAACCTAGGACCACTGGGCTCAGGCATGGTCATCAGGACTGGAGACAGTCATCCTGGTGACCAGGCCACTTCCCAGAGCCTCAATTCCTATAATGTGGGATGAATGGGGGGCACAAGATTTCCAGGGTGCCTTCTCCTTATGGGGGTGGGGAAGGACAGCAAGCCAGAGGACAGCAGAGAGGGCGACGAGAGCCAGGGGGCTGGGCAGAGAGGACTTCGGCCCAGACATGGCCATCAGATGTTCCAGGGGTGGGGCCCCAGCACCTACTTCTTAAAAGGCCTCCCTGGGTGCTTTGGAGGCCCACAAAAGCCCCGGCACACAGCTGTCCCTCATCTCCTTTGGCCTCCACACCCACCATGAGCTGAGTCACCTCTTATCTGTTTTCCACGGAGGGAAACAGGCTTTACCTTTGAAGAGGAGGTTGGCCTTCGGCAGGTCCAGCTGGTACCCAAAGGAGACGCTAGTGTCCTGCATCCTCGTGCTGGCCTCGAACTCCACGCCTACCTGTAGCTGGAGGAGCGGACAGTGCAAGAGTGAGCTGCCACCTCTGGGTTCCAGGCGCACAGCCCGAGACCCCGGCCTGTGATCATGCCCTCCACACGGGCTGCCAGCTCACCTGGTCACTGGCTTTGTGGTAGTACGTCGCGTGCATGCCAGCTTGGCCCAGTGTCACTGTGGCCAACCAGTTGTTAACTGTAAGAGAGAGGACAGTGGGGGTGGTCACCAAGAAGACGCGCCATCTGGGAAGCTAGGTCCGGCCCTGCCCTCAGCCCAGGCTCACGTGTGTATTTCCCAGCCAGCGACATGACGGTGCCTTCCTCTCCGGGCCGCCGGTGGTAGACCAGCTCTCCACCCAGGGCCAGGCATGGCGTGATGCTCTGGAGGTAGTGGGCCACGAGGATTCCTGAGGGCAGGTGACAGTCAGCTCCAGCCCAGCCAGGGGGTGGGGACCAGGCTCCGCCTACAGGAAGCTAGGCTGGTCCCTGGTCCCTCCCTGCGGGCCTTGGTCCTGCCTTCACAAACCTGCCGGGGGTCAGCCTCCCAGGCCTGCAGGGCTCCACCTGGCCCAGTGCAGCCCACACTCACCCCAGCACAGATTGGGGGGCAGACGCTGAGGGAGGCGGGTCTCTCCCCCAGGCTCACAAAACGTGCCAGGGCGGAGCCAGGCCGCCATGCCCATGCCCAGGCCCAGGCTCCAGCGAGAGGCAGGAGGGCACAGCGGAGGATGGGAGGTGGCTGCCCAGCACTGCCAGCCCAGTGGCTTGGCCACCGACATCACTTCTCTGTTAACATGACTCCTCCCTGGGGTTGTGACAAAGACCAAGTGACAGGTCCACCATCACTAGGATCCGTCATGCTGAGGTCTGCACCAGAGGCCTGCGTGTACCGCGACGGCCAGCACGACTCCTCAAGGCTGAGGACTAACAGTGATTTGCTTGGGTCTCTGGAGCCCAGCAGAGCACAGGCGACTAGAGCCATGTCACCTGACAGGGGAGGAAGGAGCCGCAGACACAGCACTGAAGACAGCACAGACTCTGGGACCAGAGGAGAGGGACAAGGCAAGACTGGGTGGACACAGACGTGGGCGCACAGGACGAGACCCCCAGAGAAGCAGCAGCCCCAAGGGATGGGGAAGGCAGGGTGCAGAGAGGACAGGTCAGGGCGGAGCACGGAGACCAGTGGCTTCCCAGGTGGGGAACTGAGAGCAGATTCTGAGGGGCAGGTGAATGACCATCATGGTTGGGCCAGCCAGAGGGGCTGGCAGCCTGCAAGGGGGGCCTGCCAGAATGGACA